CTGTGGTATTTTTTTTTTTTTTGTTTGCGATTCTGGTTACGATTATTATGCAAAAATGTAATCGTAACCAGAATCGGCGTCGTGATTGAATTTCGACAGTTTAAAATTGGTCAATATAATTTGTTACCGATCAACAGCCTTTAACAGTCCACTAGGACATAGGCCTCTCCTTAGAAAAGAGGTGTTGGCCTACTATACCACGCTGGCCAGACGGGTTGGTATAGGGTTTCAAGTTTTCCTTCTCTTCGCAGTGCTGTTGTCTTGCGTAGTTAGCTCCCTTAGTCGGCTCTTACGACACCCACGGGATGAATATGGGTGGTGACACTCCGTATTCTTAATCCAACACCCCACGGATAAACAAACTGACATTGTATGGACTTTCTATATTATGACAGATCACAATGTATACTAGTATACTTAAACTTTTAAATAGAATATTTTGATTAAAATTTTTAGCTTTGTGTCTAATACTTTCACATATTTTTATACACGTTAAGTTCTGATAATCTGACCTGTTGGTCCAGTCATTAGTGACCCTAACTGCTGAGCTAGAGGTCGTGGGTTCAATTCACACCCAGGACAAATAATTGTATGATGAGTACGGTCATTGTTCTGTATCTATAATATGCATGTATTTAGAAATATATAAATATGTTTATCAGCAGCCTGGTTACCATAGCACAGGCTCTGTCTAGTTTGAAGTTATTTTTATTATTAAAAAATGATTTATTTATTGAGACTACCTGCAAAAGGTGGACATTATATTATACGGATATTATATCCTTCCGTGCGCAATATTCGTAAAGAAATTAGTAGAATGATCTTACTTTACGTATTAAGGGTCGTCCATATTACGCCACACGAATTTAATGGTTTTAGACCCCCACCCCCGTCCTTGACGCATCTGGTCACATTTGTGAGACTCGCCCCTCCCTAGTGTGACGGCACATATTTTGCAATTCTACATCTAGAAATTTTAAAATTAGAACAGCAGTTTTTAGCAGTAGTTTTTTAATAAATTCAATATCATATTAAACATTTAAAAAACCTACATCAATTTAAATATTTCAAAAATAATAATTCAAATTTTGCAGTCGTCACGTCATGAAACTTTGGGCCCCTCCTCCTCCGTGTGTGTACACAATGTCGTACTTCGTTGACTCCAATACCATGACGCCGATTGATTGGGTGCTGTATACATATTGTTGATTAATTAATATCAGTTTTTACTTTTTATATATATATACTTGTATATAGGCTTGTACTGTGGCTACTAGACAACTGATATAAATACATATAGATATAGATACGTAAATAAATACATATTATACATAGAAACACCCAGACCAAATCAAACATTAAATGTTCATGCACACAAATGTTTGACTTGACACTATACTCACATTTACATAGGTACTTACACAAAAAAATATACTATTCAATTCAATTTTAACGAAATTCAATTTCAACGAAAAAATCAACAAACGAAAACAAACGAAATACGAGTTAAAATAAAAAAAAAATGTTCATCACTGTCAAATGTGGGAGTGCACAGCATCAATCCCAAGCAAATTTGTCATCTAAGCATCAAGTACTGAAGTAACACTCAATTTAATTTTTTCATCAATGCTTTTAGAGCAACATTTGGATTTGTTACAATAACAGCCAATTACGGGACGCGGCCTCGACTTAAGTTAGCTGTTTCTAACACTCCCCGGGGGATGGCAGAGGGATTATGAGGAGTATTCCTTATAGTCCCTCCTTTTCTGACAACCCTTCTTACTTACACATTCTTTTAAAATATCCCCAATTTTTACCGTCTGAGTATTTGTAAGCAATCAGTCCTCTTTTACGTAATTAATCGTACAATTATAAATTCGACAAAATGTGTTCATTTAATACACCTCTATGTCCACATTCTGGGAAACATTTGTGAGGGTAAAGATATATTATCATATATTTTAATTAAAAATATTCAGAATGTCTCCCACTGTCATGTAAAAAGACACCAAACTTTTTTTAGTATTTTTTCAACTGAGCACAGTGTCGCCATCTGTTGTTGATAGAAATATATTTATAATGTGTCGGCATCAGGTGTTGAATAGCGGTATTATTTGTAGTATTCTATAGTAAATTAACCGATATTTATTTCTTTACGAAGTTGAAATGTCTAAAATAATAAAAGAACTCAAACAATAATGCAGCTATTCGACATTGACTGTAAGAAGATTTTTCATTTCGTTGAGTTCCTAATGAGTGTTTCTATTCAACACTAGATGGCGCTATATAGAACTTTTCTTATTTTTAAACTGCTAGAATAATTGGTAATTTAAAGTCCAGTTAGAGGATATCGCGAATTTTATTAGAAAAATTATATTTTTAGAAGCTATGTCTACATTGTGCAACCTATATTTTTTCTATATCAGATGCTAAAATTAAACAGAGATTGTTGCTATTGGTGCTAATTCTGTTGTTCGAAAACTCACTAAAATAAAAATCACAAAAAAAAAATTTGTCCTGTCAAACTACGTTTCGTATTCTGAAAACTTAGTACTTGGCAGCAAATTACAAACTAATGGCACGATCTCAGCTGTTGCAATTCATTTATATTGTCATGATGTACCGAGAGGAACCAAAATATGTCAAAAATATTCTGTAGCTTTTTTTTGAGAACCCCTCCTTTTTCTGTTCTAACTTATGAAATTAATAAAATGAAACAAAAAATAATATTAATATCATTTATTAGGTACATCAAATGCATTGCATTATGTTACTCGAGAACAATAAATAAATTGGTGTGTTATATTTATCTTGTAACCATACAACTATGTTGCAACCATTTTATACACATGAACAAGTCGATAATATGACACACAAATAACATCGCAATACAAAAAAAATGCTTTAAAACTTATTTAAGAGCATAAATTACATATTTCTTAATCTGTGCCATAAATTTCATTAAACTATAGAGATTTAATATTGTCTATGATAAAAGAGTCTGTAGAAAAAAAAAACTTGTACTGTAAAGATGCCAGTAAAAAAATTCACAATCAATTGACAAGTTATGACAAGTTAGAGTGCTAACATTTTAAATAGACAACTCCCGCATTAGGAATATATCCTGTGTCGCGGGGGACTTTACAAACATACACGAAACGGATACAAAGAACACCCAGACTCAATTATCTTATCTATTTCATTTTTTTCCCAGAACATGTCATTTAAAAAAACTAAATCAGAAAATACAATAAATCGGTTGATACCCGGTTATTAAAATGTTTTTTTTTCGTGCTTTTATGTGTCATATTAAGGATCAGCTGCATCTTTTTAACATTCAGAGCTATAATCACCTATATAATATGTAATAATTCATATTAAGCAAGAGGGAATGAATAATATTTGTAAACAAAATCAAGAAATAACATAAAATATATGAAAACTCTTGTCTTTGGTTCCTATAAAAGCTTTGGAATATCAGTGGAAAAACTCATAAATTGTACTTAACAGGCGATAGAGAGAAACATAGATTTCTTATAATATCATGCGTCATATTGCCTAGTACAGTTTATTGCGTTGTAAAATCAACCTTATAGAATATTTACATAAAATTCAAATCACTGGTGCCTAACACAATGTATGTACTCGCAAAAAAAATTACAGTTTAAACGATCACGATACCAAAAATGTACACATTTTTCCAAAATAGCACCAATATTATAATATTAGCACATCGCGTGTACCAAACCAACGATTGCTGGCAACACTATTAAACAAATTAACAGCTAACACCAAACTTCATGCAAAATTCGCTTAATAATTCATACAACCCTTACCAGAGTATTTTATTATGTATTTTTAATACGTTAGATGTAAAATAACGCAGAGAAAATATGTACTGAATAACAGCATAAGGTATAATTGATATTTTTAATACAGATGCCTAAAGTTTAAGATATGGTATGTTAAATACAAAGGGATTACAAGAATTTTGTTTCTTAGATCACACTTCTTACGATATAAAATATACATTTATTCGTGTATAAATAGATATGTATTAAACTAAATTAATAATAATTAAACTATGGTAACACATTCCTACGGAATCATAGACAATAGTAACCAGAAAACTTCACGTTTGCATTTTTTTATTTTGTAGCTTTTTAACGAGAAGCATAGACACAACATCGAATGCATTTTTTTTTCTATGTGGACTAGGGATGTTTTCTTCGGACTTGAAGGGTTTTTAGAATATCTGTACCTATTTTAAGTTAGGCAAGATTATGATATTTGATGTACAAGTTTATGCAAGAGCGATATGTTGTAAGAGTAATAACTAGCGCGGTCAGAAGGCTTTATACACCTATTTAGCCGCGTGTTTTCTATGCATCAAGTATAAAACAAGCGCCGTTACTATAAAAATAGCACAAAACGTTTCAACAACAAAGATTAACATTAAAAATTTACAAACTACAACCTAAAAAATTTAAATGTTGTCAACTACAAAATTCTTTAGAATTGTTTTAAAAATGTAGCTAAATTTATTTGGTCTCATTTAGTAACGGTAATATTTATCAACGGAAATTTCATAACCAAAATTAAATAATCTATTATTTTATTTGCAGATCTTGAGTTTCTTTGTGAGATTCCTATATCTGACTGTTCAGAGATCTGCTATTACTGGTACAGTGGTGTTTCCTCGTTTTTCTTTATTTTAATAACAAAGTGTTTTTATTCATGAGAAAAAGTAAAGTTCCTTTTTTAAACTGATTTCTCATGGTATTAAACCAACACATACATCTTCAATAAAAGCACTTATTATGGAGCATGCGTGATATTTCTTAGTTTATTCACTCAAATATATTTTTTTGGATCTCATTATCCATTAGTATCATTTCTATCTAACTCCCTTAAATACAATTGCAATTTTGGTTAATATTTATTACAAGACCTGCTTTAGAGAAATGGATAAAAGATCAATCTTGGTCCAGAGCACTTTTTTATGGAGAAAACACTCGGAGACTTCGCAAAAGAGTAGCCAAGACATTGGCTAAACACTCTGCTCTTAAGGCCAGTTGGCCTTCCAAAGTTGAGCTGGTATCTTGGCCTTGGTTATGGGTTTTCTTAGTATTGTTCTCGTGTATGATCTGGGCCATCTCTGCTCCAGCCAGTTCTTTAAAAGCCGCTGTTACGTCATGCACTCTGAGGACCAGGTTTCTGGTTTGGAGAGGGGCTGAAGTATGTCTACCTAGAGCCTGAAAGTAGATTTATAATAAGGAAAGAAGGATAAATTAAAGCTGATACTTTTGGATTTGGTAGAGTCGAGATCTTCAGAAGCGTATACAAGTACATTTATTTGCTGTTAAATTATACGTGCTATCCTAAAAATTAATTTAATTTTTTTAAGCCTTTCTTATTCTGCAATTTCTGTATTTGACACTTAATTGGAGGTGATATTGTTCAAACCGTTATTGAAATCGTCGTAAATCTATTGATATGTTTTTTTTAATTATTTAACTTAATTCAGAATATCTTTTTCGACTTGTCTTTCTAGTTTTTAATATTTTAATATTTGGAATGTAATATCTCAATATCAAACGGAAATTGCCTCCTAAAACGTAACCTCCAATAGGTCCTACAACAATATTTATGTTATCTATGTTAATTTTACTGCCTAATAATAATAATTAGTGTGTTTATAAAAGTGCCATACTTGCGCTAAATCAGCGAGCCTCCTAAGAGGCGTGAGGCAGTCAGCGAGCGCGGCGGGGGCTGAAGGTGGGGTCGGTGCGGGGGTCGCGGGGGTGGGTGCGGAGGGGGGCGCGGCGCCGAGCGCGCCCACGAGCGCGCGCGACGCGCCCACCAGCGCCACCGCGCACGACGTCAACTCGCTGCGGGCACGCTGCAGCACGAACACAACATTCAATATATATGTACTTAAAATCGTTCATTTCATATTCACTGATAGAAGATGGGTTAAAAGCCAAAACGTTTACTGTTGACATGACATCGACTCGAGTTGACGGTACACTAACTCGAGTTAATGGTACAATAACTCGTTGACATATTCTAGTAACTCGAGATGACATTTTCACAACTATGGATATCATATTAAGAAAAATAATTGTGTTTAAATTAACAGTGATATAGTATCAACTTAAACTATTAAAAAATATATAATTGCAAGGTCAAACACTTCTTCAACTACAGAAATCATCCTCCACACACTGAATCGCTCCAATATGAGAAACGCACAAATCAACAGCAAGTTCAGTCAACATATTAATTGATTTAGATTTTCTAATATAAACTAAGAACTTCAATGTTTCATAAAGTTCAATCACATTAAGAGTTTGGGTTAAACTATCTGAAGTTTTAACATCGTTACATGGCCATAATAAAAAAATAACTGACTTAAAATTATCTTTAAAATATATTCAGGAAAACACTCACCTGAAATTTAATTTCATCAATATCCTCGCCACCTCCATGAGCATGTTGATGGGAACACTTCTGTGCTACCTGGTGCAACCTCTGCAGCAGACCTTCCACGGCGACCTCCGTCTTGCACAGCAGACTCTCAATAGACACGTGTCCATTATTCCCGGACTGGAACTCTGGAAACTTAACCGTAGGAGGCGACGGCGGTGTTGGTATATCCGGGTCTACAACTTCATCTTTAAAACGAACGTGATTCTGGACTTTTGGCGTCGGACTCGAACTATCTCTTCTAAAAGATTGACGCTCCGATAATGGGGGGCTGAACACTCTTTCTCCTGGAGCTCCATTTAAAAGATCGGGTCGATTACTGAACCGTCTATTCATTTGAGGCGAGCATAAGGACAGAGCTGTATTGTTCTTTAATATAGTATTCTTTGTTTCTGAATTGGATCTGACATGACGTGTTTGTAGTGTCATTGAGCTATAGTTTGGAGAAGATCTAATATTTTGACTTTCCTCTTCACTTAATCTGTTCTCATTTTCAAGATTTTTATAAGTGTTTAGGTTCCGATGGAAATGGGGGGAGCCAATACTGGCTAAACGTTGTTCCTGGTTTCTAATCGGAGACTGTTTTGCATTCTTCATTCTTAATACTTCAATGCTTGGTACTGGAGGTAACGGCGGCTTTTTAGGAGGTAACAGTAATGGAGGCGGAGGAGAAAGAACTTTATTTTCTAACCTCGGTGGTAACTGTGGAGGATTCTGCATTTGTTCGTTTATGTCGCAAACGACTTTATAGTTCAGCTTTCGATTGTTTAAAGTACTAAAATGATTGTTACTGATTTCAACAGCAGTAAGTTCATTATTTAGGCATGTAAATGAGTTCGATCGAGGCCTTGGTGCAGGTGTAGGTGGCATTTTTGGCGGCCTTTCAGGTGGTTTTTTGATATCGGTGCTTTTTCTTCTCGGAGGTGGTCTGATTTCACAAACATCGGGTATAGAGTCAGAGTTTTGTACTTGAGCTTCACCTCTGTCTCCTTCATCCGAATTCTCTTCGGATTTATTTTTGTCTTTGCTGCAGCAAGAAAACATTCCTTTTCTTTCTACCGTTGGATATTCTATCACATGTGCGGTACCGTTGGACTGCTTGTCATTAGATACGCTTTTTCTTTTACCTTTTGGCGAATCAGCTTTAGTAGATGTTGCTTTGGATTTATCTTTTAATAAAAGACTATTTCTTGCTTCGCTCAAGCTTTTGGCTGCAAACAGATTCCTGATTTCACTAACACTTAAAGTACCCTTTACAACGTCACCGTTTGCGGGTTTAACTTCCACGTTTGATTGTCCGTTTTTTGCTTCTAGTATTTGACTGTGATTTGCATAACTGACTTGTTCTCTATCTAATGTTGATGAGTTGGAGGCGGGCGGCGGTGGTATTATATATGACATAATTTCTTCAGGTGTTAATTCTATTGCTGGAGTAACTTTCACAGTCGGTGGCTGAATTGTGACGTTGGCTATAAATTCCTCTAAAGCTGTCTTTGGTGTATTTGATAAGTTCTCTTGTGAATTCACTTTGTCGTCTGCAAATGACGGCGGCACGATAGGTACAATTTGAGGCACTTGCGTAGCACAGTCTAATTCATCGGGTGTTTGTGGGGGAGGTATCAAAGTTAAATCTATAAGCTCAGCATCATTATCAACTACGCTTTCTTGATAAAAAAATGGATACTCAGCAGCTCTCACTTCTTCTTTACTACTTTTCTCTCTAAGCTGTTTCAAGTATTCTTTGAGATTAGGTTCCTTATTATCTTGTGTTGAATCTGGGCTATGTAAACCAAAACTAGTTCTGACGGCTTTATCAGTGGTTTTAGTTTTTCTTATAGGACTGTTCGTAGGAGTATACAACGAATCATTGTCACTTTCTGAATGACATACGTCGTTGTTCAAAGCTATTAAAGCATCAGTTAGACCACAATTATTGAGTATCGCACTCAATCCTTGCGACTGTCGAGTCGTTAAACTATTATTGTCTTTCCCATTCTCTGGGACACTTAAACCATTTAAACCTTGATTTATAGTTTCAGTCAATAGGAGCAAAGAGTCACTATGCTTCAAAATCCCGGGCGCATCATCAACACAAGACATTCTACTAGTGTTAGATTCGGTATCACTTTCTACATTATCAACACTGGTCTCTTTACCAACAAACTCATCCCTTATTATTTCATGGTAAGCATCGTCATCACAATTTTCAGTCAAATATTGTTCTGAGTTCTCTACTAATTTCTGCATTTCTGCTACTCTTCTTAAGACTTCTTCGTTTTTAGCCTCGACTAGCCTTGGGTTATTGGTGGCATTCTCTAAGAGTTCCATGGATAGAACGCTTTGAAGGTCGAAACCCATGCCGTCGTCGAGGTAATACGCATCATTTGGATCGAACAGTCTGAATTCGTCATTTCTTTTGCATTTTTCAAAATGAACATCATGACCTAGTAACCCACATTTAGCGTCGTAGCCTGTTAATGGGCTCGAGTTGTTGCTATGATTTCTGTTTGTTATGCTGGCATTCATGTTCGTGTCTAAAGACTTGGATTGTTCAGAAGTGGAATGATATGGCGGAGGCATGCTGAATATAGCGAAGTGCCTCTTAGTTAAGATATTGGGGTCCTCAGAGTGGAGGTAACTCCATTTAGCTGGCACCACATTGTGTTGAGACAAGTACGGTGGAGCTGGAAAACATCAGATAAGAATTTTAGAGAATTGCTGAAATTATTTTTGACGTACTTTATTTAATATTATTTTATTATACTTTATTAACATTATATATTTATATTGAAGGCTTTTCTGGGAGAATTTTCTTTTTAAACATACATGATGTACAGAGAAAATTAGGCTTTTGACAATAATTGGGTCTGTTTAAGAAATTCTCCATGACAACTTCGTCACATTATCAAGAATTTAGAAGTAGAATGAATTATTTATATTTACCTATATCTTCTGTAATCGGCTCTCGTTCTAGTTCTACGTTTAATTCCTGTCCAGTAGCCAGGCGATAATATCTGTAATCAGTAATTTAAATTTAATATTTCTAATACGCATTTTATAATACGCAGATGAACTCGGAGAAGTAAGTATATGTGGCGGGGGGTACTTACTACTTATAATGAAAGTACCAATTTTTTTTTACAACATTTTTTTTTGCATTAGGAATATATCCTCCGACGCGGGGGACTTCACAAACATACATGAAACGGACACAAGGACACCCAGACTTAGAACGACAATTTGTGGATCACACAAAGTGTCGTCCTATTTGGGGATCGGAGCCACAACACTCAGGGTAGTAGTGAGCAGCGTGGCGACCGCTTAAACGCGAGGCGCCATCTGTTATTGAGTAGTGGACTTAATTAAATTTTCCAGAAACATTGCAGTGTTCTAGATGTTGGTCTGATGTCTCATGTCTAGTGTTCTTTATAAGAAAGTACAGAGTTTCTGAAGTTTTCTATGGACCAAATTGCAGTAAAAATATGTAATGGCGTAATGTGGTTTGGAGGCTTTCTAGTTACTGTGATACACCGAGCAAACAAATGCGTAGATACGATTTATTTATTATCATATCTGTTTTGTGTGTCAATCTGTGTATTCATCTAATCACGAAAAGGAAATCAGGATAGCACCCAGACGCCTCACATTTAAAACGAATGTCCGAGCTCTAATTCTCGACACGCTAGCAGATTCATAGCACATCCCCAAAAGTTTTATATAGCATGTTATATATACGAGTATATATATGTATGTATGTAACTCAGCAAGTATATATGTATGTGTATCTCAGTATGTATGTATGTATTTATGTCACACTGGTTCTGTCCATATTATTAATTATTATTATCTCGTTACATATAAAACTTAATTTCTAGTGCACCTACTCAGACATTTCCCCACCACCCTAAGGTAGGCTGGAAGAAAATGCCTGTGGCATTAATTCCGCCATTGTACAATGAATTGTTGTTTGTGCAAAAATAATTAAATAAAAAATCGGTTGTCTGTAAAGTCGGTTTACTGACGATAGTTGAACGTGACAACGTCATAAGAAAATACTGATGGAATGGTTTTCGTAAAAACGAAAACATGTAAATGTATTATTGTATAGCAGCTGTCCACGCGGACGCATCGCTCACTCAAGTAGGAGACAGACAGATGTCAAACGCTGCCGAACGCGGAGGCCGATTGTGTCTCTTTGTCGCTCGTTCCGCGCTCTCGCTTGCACTTCAAGCCTTAAATGGAACGCCTCAGAGCGAGGTAACGCCGCATGAGTCATGTTTTTTCGTGCGTGCAGCCGGCTCCATCGAATTATAAGACGTGGTCACGTCAAAAAGCTCGGTCCATAACAATATTTTGGATTAACAGAGACGTGTTACATGCCGATAAATAAATGTCAGGGTTATGGATTGGAAGTGTTCATAGAACTTAGTTTAATATTTAGGTGATCACATACCCTGCAATGACAAGAGGCATTTCTGCAGCATCCCTCTCGTCCATAAGTAACGCGAGGACACGATCTCTTTGGAGGAAGATGGCCACATCTGACCCGCCTGAAGACCACTCCCGCTTGACTCGGATACCTTGCACTTCTTCTAAAGATGCGATGGATTGGGGCTGGAAAGAGATTGAGTGAATTTGCAACACATACAGGTAGATTCAGAGGCAGAGTGGAGAGTCCAAGTGACTGTAACTTGTTTTGCGCATAAACACAAAAAAAACATTCATTTTAAGTCAATTTGTTTCAATCCCTTCAAATTTCATTTACGCTATAAAACGTAGTCTATTTCCTTTTCCAAGATCCGACTTATCCCTTTGCTAAAATCGTCAAAAAATGTACACCGGTTTAGGTATGAAACCCTAACAGACAAACCGAGTTACACTAGGTTAGTGTAAATTACAAACAAGTATGACTTAAAAATATATATATATTTTTTTAGTTTAAAGTTGAGTAATTTTTAAAAGAATACCTAGGTATACTTAGAGTAATTATATTAAATTTAAAAAGCGTTGATTTTTTTTTACAATTAAAGTTTCAAACCAAAGATAATCTTTATATATTAAAACAATTATATTTACCACCGAGTTACTTCTGCCGACGATCTGGCTCAGACCAAACCTGGGTGACACCAACAGCACACGTTCAGGTCGACTGCTGCTGAAGCATTTAGCGCCATAACTAGGAAGTCCAGCTACTATGTCTAGGTAGTGGAGTTTAGCCTGACAAGAAACAGAAAACTTTTAAGTACTGCGTGTTTACTTCATTTTAACACATATCTAGTGACGAGTGGCTGCACTAACGAAACTGCTGAAACAAATCTGTGTAGTGGAAGGTAGATGCAACGAGAACCATCTCTGTGTATGAAAAGTGTCCGTAAAAACGCGTCAAAAAACAGCTAGACACTTTTTCCCTAAGACTAAACTAAACTTTCCCCCCTAAGAGATGGTTCCCCTTGCCTCTACCCTCCATAATAGTATTTTAAAAGAAAAAGTTAAAGGTTGATAATAAGGGAAATCAATTTTAGGGAAGGGATATTGCTTCTAAAAATAAATAAATACATTTTAAAAAGCCTTTTAACTAAAAACATATGCAATAATGTACACTACCTATTTTTTTTCTCAAAGACAACTCCCGTATTAGGAAACTTTACAAACGTACATGAAACGGACACAAAGAACACCCAGACTCAGAACAACAATTTGTGGATCACACAAAGTGTTGTCCCATGAGGGGATCGAACTCACAAAACTTAGTGCAGTCAGACACCTGTGCAGTCAGATATATAATATAGAATATTTACTGAACGAATAAAAATTAAAAAGTTACCTGTAATTGTGTGAGTTGTCTCTGACTGCCCGTCATCTGAGAGTTAAGTTTGAGGAAGTGTGCGATCAGCCGCCGCAGCTCCTTGCGCTTCATGGTGTCGAGGAGGCCTGACGGGACAAACCGCTCCAGGCCAAATTCTCTCCTGGAAATTCAGATCTATTGTTTCCATTTTTCACACACAAACATCTTTCACTGTGTTAGGACTTTTAATAGGAGATCGAGAAAAAATTAAAACCAATTCCGTAAAAAACTCAACTACTTAGTATTTTTTTATCTGTGGTAAAACAAGATTTTTTCAAATTTGGCAATTTGGCTCATCATTGGCACTGCAGGAGAAGGCAATCGTAATAAACTCACTCGACAGCCTTCACAGTGAGCTTAGCGGGCGCCAGGTTGTTGGCGAGAGCATGCTGGTGCATGTGTAGCGCAGCAAGGCGGAGCGCCGTCTCGGGCTGCAGCTCGGGGGCGAAGCGCTCCTGCGCCACATCGTTGCAGCACTGCAGGTAGAGGTACTCCAGAGCCGACAGGTCGCGCTGCGCCAGCTCCGCCGCCGACCGGGGCATGAACACCACGCGGAACAGGCAGCGCATCTTGTACGAGCCGGGACGAGCTGCTATCTGCACGTTAACAAATAGTTTGGACTTATAAAAAACCTAGCTGTACCCTGTCACGCTTCGCTGTAGCACATTGTGGTCGCATTGATAAGAAATGAAGAACAAAACTGACGCGAAAAACAGATAAAATCAATTTCCGAAACGGTTTGTATTTCGTGACGAAAAGCCGCAGTCAAGCAGAAATCAGCACAGATTTTTTTGAGTTTTTGAAGCTACTATTTCAAATATATGTTCTAATATAGATATACATATATTTGAAATAGACGTTGCTATATGATTAAAAGAGGCAAATGCATTTCAAATCAGGAAAATATTGTCTAGGCGCCATCTTTAATTGGTGGTTTTAACATTCGATATTGCAATACTTAGCACATATTCCTAACAGCATATTTCAGTAAAACTGTCTTTCTTACCCTAGCCAAAGACTCTTTTGGATCCAGTAGCGTCAGTTTATTCCTTCTCAAACTCTTCACATGTTCCACAACCAGACAGAAGTGCTCGTCGGCTGTAATGCACAGCTTGTCCTTCAAGCTGCTGACCACGTCGGCTACCGTGGTCGTGGTGTCATACTTAAAAGATTTTGTTTGACCATTTTCCAGAAATACCTTCAAGACATTTGCCATTGGAGGTAAACAGAGGTCGCCGAGGGAGAATGCTGAGGGCTGAAAAGGATACAAGAAAAATAAATATCATCACAATTGCTGCTTCTACTTTCTATGTTCTGAATTGTCTAAATCTAATTTCAGAACATCATAAGTATTGATGAAGTATTGATGATTTGAATCTAGTTGTTGTGTATGACATAATATGTTAATAATAATAGGTACTTTGAAACCTCCTTTCTACGGAGAGGCCTATGTCCAGCAGTGGACTAGTAAAGGTTGTTGATGTGAAATGAATAGGTACTAGCAAGTTACAAAGTCATAAACCTGCAAAATTTTAGAATTAGTGGCTGTTTACTGTGTATCAGAACAAGGTTAAGTCAGAAGCAAAAGGTGGATCTGCACCTCAATGTCCTCTGGGACCTAGAACCTAGACAATTCCTCCACTATTAACAAGCCAATCCCTTCCAGAAGTTAGCAATCTAATACTCTGATAACGTGCTTGCTAGTTCTATGAATTGAGAGAGAGAGAGTACCAAAGAAAAGAAGAATATTTGGCTTGACACATCTAGATATACGAGTGATTCGAAGCATGGCTGATGACTGACCAAATACTTCCAGAATAAAGATGGGCCTTTGCTTTTTAAATTCCTTTTAGAAACTTTGGCTTTTGCAGGAATAAGATCATCTAATTGCCATGTCCTCTTTAAAAAGCTTTCTCGTTCCAAAATCAATCGCTTTTGCAAATACTTACGGGATACATAGGTGCTCCATTCAGCTGCACAGAGTCCGCAAACCTAACTCTTGGTGGCCTGGCTCTTAATCTAGCTCGCTTTGCTGCAGATAGTAATGCCGATCTTCTCATAGGATTGCCGCTTCTGGCTGGTTGACATACTCTTAAGGTAACCCTCTCAGTACATGCCCTCACGGCTGATATCACATGCTCTCTAGCTGCCAAGCTCACGTCTTCGCCATTGACGCATAAGATCTGGTCACCAGGTTCGAGCTGGAATTTATTATTAACGAAATCAATAATTCTTCTGAATTCAAGTTTGATATACAAATATTATAAATATAAAAGTTTGTAATTATGTATATATTTTTGTTACTGTTTCAACCATAACGGATTCTGATGAAACTTTACAGTTCTTTTTGTCTTACGCACGAAATGCACGAAAATATTTAAATAAGATACAATATTAACCTTGTAAAAATTATATGTGGTGACGGATTAAGAATACGGAGTTTCCCCACCCCTGTTCATCCCGTGGTTGTCGTAAGAGCCGACTAAGGGAGCAAACTACACAGGACAACAGCACTGCAAAGAGAAGGAAAACTTGACACAAACCCTATACCAACCCGTCTGGCCAGCGTGGTGTAGTAGGCCAAAACCTCCTTTCTAAGGGGAGGCCTATGTCCAGCAGTGGACTATTATAGGTCGTTGATGTGTGATGTGAAATAAATGTATTTTATAATACAAGGCAGCAGAATGTAGCAAGTCACACAATAATTGTCTTTTTCTATTTCGAACTTATAAATTTACGATAGTGATGGTTCCCGAGAATAAATATCGAAGTTGTATTTGATTATACATCAGTATCCATCGGGTCCGTGAATGTTAGCTTAGCTAATCATATAGAATAAGAGATTGGGTCAGGTAGTCTTACTGATTGGTTCTTTAGTCCACTTAGTAGGAGACTGTTGCACTGTGCCGATAGAAAATTGTCATTAATGGTATGCTAGGCAGAGAATGTGGTCAGATTAAAGAGAATTAGATGCAATGAAGACAGAAAGAAACTGTATTGTCAGAATCTAAATGCATCTGAAACAAGCTAGTCTTATGACCAAGTGCTTACCTTCCCTACGCTGGGTGAGTTGTCTGTGACGAACCGGACCAGTACTGGTCGTTCGGATCCAGCGACGAATCCAAAGCCAAGTTCGGGATCTCTTTCCAAGACCACATCTCTTGGCGCTGGGGGAGATTCGCACGAACAACCTTCGGGTGCTACATACGTTGTTGTTTTGTTGACGTGGCTGTAAAAACATGTAGTTAGTTTATTGTCGGTGTATTTTAGGTTTAGCGTGTCATTATTCCCCTCCCTTCTTACCTCTCTTTTCAATATACTCACTATTTTCCTATCTGATTCCTAGATTGCCCGCTTAGCGACAATAGGGTTTCTCACAGGGGCATTTACGTAAATGGGATTAAGAAATCGGCTAAACAATAGTAACTTTACACCAATTAACCGCTTTTAAAAATTCTTTCACCAATGGAACACTGAGCAAATTTCGTGCATATCAAATAACTACTTGTCCTGGGTGTAATTAGAACCCACGACCCCAGAGGTCAGGGTAGTGACCCTGTCCTCTGGGTCTAGAGAGACAATAGACCAATAGGCTAGTCCAAATGTTAACATTATACTCCTCTGACTCTATTCGGCGCCTTAAGCGTGAAACTGTATTTATAATATTTCTAACAATAAAATAGAAGATCGTGTCTAGAGATGGCCAAAAGACCGGGTAATCTTTCAGTGGGTTTAAACCCACTTATTCCCTCCCACAGGGTTTTTGTTTATTGATTTTACTATTTTAATAGCCGTAAATGTTATTATCAATGAATAAGCTACTATGTACTCTTTTCTACACTCATATCTATTTGTTATATTTTTGTGTGGCTGTAGTGAGCTGTTAATAGTTAAAAACCCGCCATTTAGGGTTAAACCCGTTTATTCCCAAAAACCCGGTTTAGACCCATTTTGACCCAATTGATTTAAACCCATCTATAATCGTGTCAACTTACTTGATATAATAAGGTTTCCCATGGCAGTCTAGTGCCTGTTCCCATCCGTACGGTAGTTCCTCGTCATCCTGCTCGCTGCTCACGCTGCCTTCCTTGCTTGCTACCCAGGTCTCTGCAGGAGGTAGCCAACTGGCTGTCCGTGTGATGTGACTGGAAGGAAAAAGTAAAAGCATAAAATGAGCTCTGGTGTTTTGATGATTCATTACAATCCTTGATTTACACTCTACATTATCTTAACCTTTTTTTCTAGGCAGGAATCCCCTTGGATACCACCCACTAGTGGGGTGGTTATATCAGACTGGAACCGACTAAAAACCGCACGCCGTCTCGTACCCCGTACTCACAATACCCCGTACTAGAAAAATAAAGGTCTGTTTCGGTCGGCCACACCGTTATTGCGGCGGTAAACCCCTCATGGAGGATTGGCTGGATAGGCGACACGGGATCGTCCCATACCAGCTGGTGATCAGCGGGCAAGGATGCTTCGGCGATCACGTGTGACTGATCCTCACGGAGCCACTACCTGAGTGCCACCACTTTACCGGACCGTGGAGGGCGTGGGTGGAACAGAGGCGTGACCTCGAAGTGGGAATACTTCGTTGATTCTATTGAAAGTTAAAGAAAAAATACTACCCCTAAAGATTAAAGAATAAAGTGTATTACAATTTATCATCATGTAGGGGCCTTGAAGTCCGTTATACTTTTTTAAAGTAAATATTTCAGCTAAATAAACAAGTCTTCAAAGATTTTATTTATGATTCTCATGAGTAAAAACGACTCTACAGAAACAGAGAAAACTTATAGTAACAATCTCATACGCCTACCCACAACTAAAGTAAAAAGAAAAAAGGTACCACTTTTCTTCCCACAACATGAAAAATTACTCCAATCAAAAACTTGTTGCCCAAAATATAAAATGGGGGTTTACTCGCAATAAAATTTATGTGGAGGCCGAAATATAATGTCGCCTCTAACTTACCTATGAGGTGGGGATGAGTGTCAGCGGGTAAAAAAAAATCATTTATTGTATTATGTATCTACCTATGACAAGCCTGTTGGTCTAGTTGTTGGTGACTGCTACGCCAGAGGTCGTGGGTTTGCACAATCATTTGTTCTGTGTATGTGTGTAATTTATCTATAACTAGCTGACCCTGCAAACTTTGTTTTGCTATTTACATTATTTAATTATTTTATTTTTTTAATTTCTTAGATGACCTCTACTCGGTGAAAAGAATATTCCTACCAAATTTCAAGTCTTTAGCTCTAATGGTTCCAGAGATATCGTGATGAGTGACTATATACGTGGAAATCTCTTATATATACATAGATTTGTATGTATTTCGATACATATAAGTATGTTTATTAGCAGTCTGGTTACAATAGTAGACTCAGACTCAGACTGCACTGACTCAGACTGTTGACTCAGACTGTTCAGACTGCACGGATGGCGTAGTAGTTTAAGCGGTCACCACGCCGCTTCCTACTACGCCGAGTGTTGTGGGTTCAAACCCCACATGGGACGACACTTTGTGTGATCCACAAATTGTTGTTCTGAGTCTGGGTGTTCTTTGTGTCCGTTTCATGTATGTTTGTAAAGTCCCCCGCGACACAGGATTGATTCCTAATGCGGGCGTTGTCTTTTTTAACAAAAAAAAAAAAAAAAAAAAAAAAAAAATAGTATAGGATTTGCATAGTTTGGGTTTAGACGGTCGTGTGTGAAATGTGTGACGTTATTATTATTACGTATTTTTGTTATGCCAATTTAGTAAAGTAAACTTTTACGTATTCCTTTGATCGTTTTAACGTAGTTTTTGCCAATTATTTCAGCTGTGAAGGAACAGTATTTTTTTCTAGTCAAAAAGTACTCCAAGACCGTTTTAGTACCATTAACAACGAATGTGAAAAAGTTTATGACTAAGAGTAATTAATACGAAAAAGCGTAACAAACCAATAAATTTTGACTCTCATTTAGGATTTCAGTTAAGATGTAAGATTACATGCATGTTATGAACGTGGAATAAACGACAGAGGTCTATCAAACTCCCATATTTTGTTGAGTATATCATTTTAGTCCCATTACCGTAACAAGTGACTCTTGCCTCCAACTGGGACTATAATGGAAAGAAAAGTAGGTAACAAGGAAAGGTAGGAAATGGATCTTGCTTATGCAGCTGGATTAGGCACAGTCGCAACGTGTGACGAGACCCGTCTTGGGCGAGACGGGTCAATACCCGTCGGGGGTGGCGCAAGAATGCAATTGCGATTCTCGCTTCCCCGACCATTAACAAGTGGAGTTACATAGGTGTGGTTTTTATTCGGTACGAGTCCGACAGACTCCTTCGCCCTCCCCCGTATGGGCAAAGGATATCCATAAGGATCTGCCAACCCATTCACAAGTAAAAGGGAATATAAGCTACACGTCCAGCAGTTTAAAGTTCAAAGTCGCATACCTATAACTTGGCTGTGTGTGGCTAGCAACTCTGAGCTCTTTTAGTGAAAATGAATCTCAGTTAATCTTGGTATTATTATATAGCAGCCTAATATAATTTCGGTTTCTTTTTAAATACTAGTAATTTACATTCACATTTCGTCTAATCTTATTGTTTATTTTTAAATCGCCAACACCTAGACCACGCCCTTACCTCAATTACAGTCATCGCCAAAGCTTTTTTATTTACGTTGCTCCTCGTAATCTACCGTAACAACACGTATTACGCGTTTACGCGTTACGCAAGGTGACTCACTATAAAGACCCTTGCTCACTTAGCTTAACTTATTCAGTCCGACGTTGCCGTATTGCAGTGACCAGTCTTTAGGACGTATTAAGCAGAGTGCTCCTACTTTGTTCTGATAAGTTAATTCTGCCAAAACATAGACAAAACTAAAGTGGTTTATGTCCAGTCCAGTCTACGCTCAACTTAGTCCCACGTCTTTTAAATACATTTGAGATTTGGGACGAATTTATTACGGGTAAGACTACAATTATTTACTAGAATAAGAACGTTTCAAATATTATAGAATAAAAGGATTTCTGTAAACTGATATTAAAATTTTAATAAAACTAAAGACCCGCCCCGGCTTCTTCGAAATTATTGGTTTTTCTGTACTATCATATGTAATAATATGCATGTATTACACATTTAAACCTTCCTCTTGAATCACTATCTCTATTGATGAAAACAGCATTAAAATCCGTTCCGTAGTCTGCAAGATCTAAGCGTACAAGAACGGGAAACGACTCATTTTGTACTATGTGAAGATAAACAAGATACATAATAATATTAAAAAAATTGTTCGATGTTTATCAGCAGTCTGGTTAACATTATGTCGTCATCGGTACCGTCGGTAGCTTTTAGTTTTATAATATTGTCATTAATCTGTACTTGGAGATTCCGCTTCCTACTGCGCTAGGTGTCGTACGTTTGATCCCCACACGGAACAACACTTTGTGTGACCCACATGCTGAGTCTGGGTGTTCTTTGTGTAAGTTTCATGTATGTTTGTAAAGTCCCCCGCGACACAGGATATACTCCTAGTGCGGGAGTTCTTTATAGTAAAGGAGAAAGATGAACGAAGGAAGAAGTGGGGGGGGGGGGGAGGAAGTAGTTCATATCTCTGCTGTTTTATTTGCTGAAACCTATGCTGAATCCCCACACTCTGCCTAGTTTGTCGCAAACGGCCGTGTGCGGGATGTAAGTTATTATTATTTTGTTGCAAACCGGATGTGGGCGCCGGACCGGCATTAAAATTGCTAGTGAAAAACCGTCCTTATGCTACTAGATTATTATGGATACTAACCTTAAGGCGTTTCATATTAAACGCGGACGTTTTGTTTATTTCATTAAGAAAAATTTAATGGAATTCTTAACGTTAATCTGTGTTGAGCTTTTTAAGCGGATTTTCACGCAATAAATTCAGTAAATATTCTGCTTTTGGATATACATAGCATATATTATTATCTTATCAATTCGTTGGTTCTTGAATTGGTATTTTTTTTTACTTTCCGTACGTAACGGTGACGTATTAACAATACAGATTGTCTTCAAGCTTTAACTTTAATATGCCTTATTACAATTTATCATGATTTAAACCCTTTTATGTTGGTAATATTTTTTATTGAAGTTATTTACCATTATTATTAGGTGATCCGCCTATCAGGATTCAGAATACGGAATATCAACACCCCTATTCATTCCGGGGGTGTCGTAAGAGCCGACTACGGGAACAAACTACGCAGGACAACAGCACTGCAAAGAAAAGGAAAACTTGAAACAAACCCTATACCAACCCGTCTGGCCAGCGTGGTATAGTAGGTCAAAACCTCCTTTCTAAGGAGAGGCCTATGTCCAGCAGTGGACTGTTAAAGGCTGTTGATAATGATGATGCCCACTTGTTTATTAATGCACTTCAATATTAGTAACACTTGCGTGGCAACTCTATTTTACAAACGCCCATCAACTAATATAACAATACTTGTTTGCTTAGGAGGCGTTCATTAATTACGTGAGGGGTTTTCGGCGATTTTCTGACACCCTCCCTCCTGGTGAGACGTTATGAGATTTGATTCAACCCCCTCCGCCATTCCCAAACTCACATGAGATTTTTAATAATGTGTTTTTAGCGTAAAGGAATACCATGATAAATGTTATTGTATAAGACTTGGCCATATTTCCGTGGAGGAACATGTTTTACTTAATTTAACCCAGTTTTCTCGCAATTTTACTCTGTTTCTTGAGGATAAAAAATCACGTGATATTTGCCGACTCCCCAAAGTATGATTAGATGAGATTCTGCTCAGACCCCTCCCCCCACCCCGTAACACCTCACGTAATTAATGGACGTGGCCCCTTAGTGATAGGACTTAAAAGACTTAGAACTGGGACTAGGACATTGTATGAAATGACTGTCTGAGTCTATACTAGATCTTAGTGGCAGACAAAAACGTGCATCATTCACAAAGATTACAAAAAAAATTGAAAACTTCTTTTATAGTTTTGAACTACAATTGGTACGAGATCCAATACCTAGAAAGGTAGTAGCACATTATTGGTGTGCTGTTTGCCACCTTATTGATTTAATAATATATAACGCTCATAAACAATACGTGTGTTCCGTGTTCAATTCCGTGTGGTGACGGATTAAGAATACAGAGTGTCACCACCCCTATTCATCCCGTGGGTGTCGTAAGAGGCGACTAAGGGAGCAAACTACGCAGAACAACAGCACTGCACAGAGAAGGAAAACTTGACACAAACCCTATACCAACCCGTCTGGCCAGCGTGGTATAGTAGGCCAAAACCTCCTTTCTAAGGAGAGGCCTATGTCCAGCAGTGGACTAGTAAAGGCTGTTGATGATTGATGATAAACAATACAATCTGGAAGCTTCCTTAAGTTACAAATCACATTCATTATTCAAAAAGGTTAAAAGGTATTTCCTTATTGCAAACATTTCCCTAATATTTCGAGAGTCGTCGAGAACGATTCAGGTATTTTTTTCTACGATACATCGTGGCGTTGTCACGTCTCATTTGTAACTGTGTGATCCGATTTGAGGGCGGAGTTCGTGTGATATAATAAGTGTGTCAAAGAGGGAAGGTCCTCTAAGTGAGGGAAAATGAAAACACGATGTTTTTTAAAACAAATAAGTGTACTGGTGTGTTGTAAACATAAATACTTTAATGTGTTTTTTACAGAAGTGGCCAGGGCTATGGGTAACGTTGCAAAAAGTTTTGACTACTTTTTTAATGGCTTTTTTTTGCCTGAAAGCCATTATCCTTAGGAATGTCATCGTTTTGATTGTGGAATTGGAAAATGGAGGTAAGGCAAAAGGATGGGTAAGGGATACTTCATGTTTCGGATAGGAAAATGGAACTA